CCTGATACCCTATTGATTTTTTACTTTTTTGGAGACAGGGTCCCACTATGTCGTGCAGGCTGATCTTGACATTAGTATGTAGTCCAGGCTGATCTTGAGCTCAAGGCAGTCCTCCTGCCTCAGCCTCCCAAGTGCTGGGATTACAGGTGTGCATCACCACGCCTGGCCAAACACCCACTTAAAAAAAATAGGTATAATATTAAACAAAGTCAATTGGCCAAATATCTAAATGTCTACTACAGATTCTAGACTTATTTACATTTGTAAACAAAAGGACGAAACACCAGACCCTGACCACATTTAAAAATATGTAGACCTCATATGTATGAAGGATTATTACTTGCAGAAAAGAACTGAAAAATCGCGATCACTTTGCTTCTTTGTCCAAATCTCTGTTATTTCTGAGAATAGTAACTATCATCTTTTTTCTAGTCTCTCAGTCAATCCTGTATCCATATAGCAAAGAGATTTTTAATAAACATTAATTAGGCATCACTTCCAGGTTTAAAACCATTCCGATACTTCTTGCATTTCAAGTGTAACCCAAACTCCTTCCTCTGGTACTCCTGGCAGGTCTGCCTTCCTCTTCAACCCCTTCCTGCACTACTACTCTCTTATTCTTGCCCTAGCCACTCTACCTTCTGCTCATATCAGGCTAGTTTCTGCCACTGGGACTTTGCATTTTCCGTATCCTTTACTGGGTCACTGTCCCTTAGAGGAAAGATTGGAATAGTTGCAGAAAAATGCCACCTTCTTAGATATTTTTTCTCTGAGCACTCTAGAGTAGCCTTCCCTATCTCCTTATTCATTTTGTGCCCTGATTTAAAAATTGCTGTTATCATCACCTGAATCTATCTTATTTGTTGCTTGTTTCATTATCTACGGTAGATTGTAAGTGCTCTGAGGGTAGAGCCTGGCAAAGTATACACTCAGCAAGCGTGTGCTACATAAATAATTATACAATCAAGTGATTTAGGTTCTCTGTTCATAAAAGAGAGATGCTACCATGAGCCCAGACTTAGGGAAGCCTTTATAGGGGAAAAGGCAGTGGGCTGGACTCAGAAAACAGAAGGATTCAGATTAGAGATGCTCAGGTGAAACATGGGTGTGGTTGGAATGAGGAGCAGGTTGGTCTCTGGTGATTTGGCTTCTTAACTGACAGCAAACAGTGACCACTTCTCTGACCCTGGCAGATCAGAGGCAGAGAGACCTTCCTTTAAGGAAGCATGATCAAGATTTTAGAAGCCAAATGCTCTGGTGTCTTCATCAAACGAAAGCACATGACTCTTGCCTAGACCAAAATAAATTCCTCAAGAGGGTGGAGCCAAGGGATAGTTCTGGAAATGAAGAAAGTCCAGGACCTTCCCTGGCGTGTTGTGAAAAATGCTTGTTGAATAAAGCTGCAACTTAAAAGTAACTTTATTTTTAATTTAATTTTTTTTTCAGCTTTGAGTTTATTGGTACATTTTAGGGATACAGTGCAGTTACATTCATTGTTGGGATCTTGTACCTCTACATGACAGGTCTTCGTTTTCATTTTTTTCCCCTTGTCCCTGCCCTCCCTTTATCCCCTCCTCCCCTCCCCATCTACAAACACTTTATTTCATCTTTTCTTTATCTCACATTTTTTTCTTTTCCCTTATTTCCCTTCCCCTATCCATCCCACCTTCCCTACACCTTTAGCCCCTTTATTCCCATTTCACCATGTCGGTAATCTTATTAGGATCTTGTGTGTTATTGTAGTTTATTCACAGCAGAGAAACTGTTTGGTATTTACTCATGTGTGACTTATTTATTTCATAAAAGTAACTTTTGGTTGTGAGGGGAGTGCAACTTAGATACTGTGGTCAAAAACTCAGAGTGAAGCATGAGGACTACAATCTGGGCTCATGCTAGATTCCTAAGGTCTTTGGAAAGCAGCTCCTCTTCTTCCACTTACTTATAGTGAATAAATATGAGGAAATTGACAATTTATTTTTGAAAGTCAAACTGTATGCCAGTGTACATATCATTCTCCAGCATAACAAGGGGAAAAAAAAGTCTATGATCCAAGATCAACAAGTAGGACACCACCAAAGGTCAGGATGACATCTGCAGAAAGGCCAGGTTGGGTGACTGGGTGTGAGGCACTTGATCACATGCAGGGGAGACTGAAAACCGGTGTGAAGAGCAGCTCTGCTGCTGACCTTAGGCAACTTGCTTTACTTCTCTGATGAAACCCTTAGTTTCATCTCCTGTAAAACAACAAAATGCATGCCTACCTTCCAGGGATGTTGTGTAGATTAAATAAAGTACTGCATAAAAACTACCTCATAGCGTATTTGAATGTTAGGAAGCCTTCAAAAATCTGGGAATTCTGTTTCCCTGAAGAAATCAGAGAACATCACAAATTTTCCACAAAAACAAGATGGAAAAAATATTAGAAAGGCTTAGTAGGTTAAAACAATGAGTATTGATTTAGCTCACAAATCTGTAAGTTGACAATTTAGAATGGGCTCAGTGTGCAGTTTTCTGATTTAGGCTCATACAGAGACCGACTTGAAGTGCCCCACTCTCTCTTATTTTCTTATTTTGGTTAGTAGAGGGGGAGGTATGTGTAATACTCGCTTTCCTCTCTTCCCTTTGCTTCCCTTACCCTTGCCCCATATACACCAAGAACAGACTGGGGCAACTTCCTCAGTGTCCTCCTGGTTACCAAGTGGCAGCTTTCTAGCTCACTCTGACAGAAGGCACAACTCAGCTGTCAGCCATGGCATCCTTCCCTAACTCCTGCTACTCTAGAGGCAATGGGTGCTCTGAAGAACCAATTTGGGGGGATCATTGGCAAAGTTCAGTGACGTTATCTGGGCTCATTATTTATATTCCCAACCTCTCCAAACCGCAATGAGCTGTGATGAACACAGCTAACCCTCCTGAAGATTCTCTGGTTTTAGCTCTGCCATTTCATGGAGAAGTGACAGAGATGTGACAGCTATCATTTAAACAGCTGCATCTCCTCCTTTGCTTTTCTGCAAATTTCTTCTATGACAGCTACAACTATCCTGGATACCTCTTGCCTGCTTAGAGAAACATCTGCTCTGCTTTAGTTTGAAGTGAGCAGTAGAATTGAGTTTGATTGATCAGTAGACTCAGATTGGCTTGAGTTTAGACCAATGTGGGCCAAAGAGTAGTGCTAAATTTTGACCAATGAGTAGATTTAGATCAGAAGGCTTAGGGTGTACCAGTTTGGACCAATCAGCAGGCTTGAATTTGAACCATTCAGAGACCTGCTATGGTTACATAAGCAGCTCTCCACTCACCCTCCTTTGGGTTGGCCTAGAAAGGCTCCATATAATCTACTGACTCTATCTGGGTCATAGCAGAGGTTCTGTTCAAATAAGCCTTTCTCTAGCAGCCCCTAAATCTTCTCATGATTTATTTGTCAAGCAGTATGGGATCCACAGGTCCTGGAATCTACTCAGGATATTTTGAGTAGTGATGACAGAGCAGTTAATGTAAAAGAAAAAAACTATAAATGCTAGAGGCTGTTAGTTCTAAAGAGAAGATCAGTGGCAGAGACCAGAAACTGGCAGTGTCAACTGACAACATTTGACACTAACTGGTGTCCACTGGTGGCAGTGGGGCTGCTAGCAGAGCTGCACTTTGACAATTCATGATTTCTGTCTGAATTGAGCAAAAGAACCCTCAAATAATTGGCAATAATGTGTATAGAATTTGGCTGACTTGGTTGGTCTATGTGACTACCTGGGTGACTGATCTGTGAACTTGGCTCTGTTCCACATTTATCCTCCTCCAATAGGCTATCTCAGACACATATTCATAGTGCAGGTGAGGAGCAAGAGGAGCAAGCCCAATTGTGCCAGTGCTTTTTAAGCCTTTGTTTGTGTCTTTTCTCAACATACTGTTGGCAAAGCAAGTTACATAATCAAATCCACAGTCAGAGTAAGAGGAATTATAATTTTGCTTGGTTAAGGATGTTAATATAAGGAGGGATAAAGAAATAGGACCATAATGTAGTTAATCTTTGCACGGAGGAAGGATTAGATAGGCAAATATAGAGATAATTAAATTTTATGTAAACATATTAATCAAACATTTATATACAATTAATAAAAGATAATTTGTATGGGATTTTTTTTTTTGGCATTGGGGATCAAGCTTGGGTCCTCACGCTTGTGAGGCAGGTGGTGGAACCACTGAGTTAAATCCCTGGCCCTGTAACAGGATTTTATTAAAGAACGAACAGGGATATTACTATAATGTTTCGAAACAACTTTCCCCTAAATCTTCTGGCTTAATTATGCTCAGTGATTAGGGAACAGGCACTTCTTTTCCTTGTTTATCTATGGGAGACCGCTCCATTGATTATGCCCAAAGCAGGCTGTAAGCAGTGCATGCTGTAAAGAGTTAATCCCACACTTGGCTTTTTTAAAAAAGTGAGTCTGACAAAGCACATGAAATAAGATACAATTGAGATTAGAGTGACTCTTACCCAAATTCTGTTCCCAGACTAACTCAAGAATGCTTTGTTCTTCTTTCACAAGCTTTGCCTGCATCAGCAACATACCCCTAGCAACCACATATAGCTCCCTTATTCCGACTTAACAGTGATTGTGTCACCAATAAATATCAACAACACTGGCTGTTCAGGGCCTTTGGTTGAGCAAGCAGTGATCGTCCCATTTCTCCGTCCCTTTCTCTGACTCTCTCTGTGTCTTTTCTCTCACCAAGCATCATAACACTAAGCAGGCGATCAGGATCCACAGCAGGGGTCTTCAGTATTTCTCCATATGGAAAATCAAATGAACATCAAGGAGGAAGCTTGGATTTAGAGTACTGATGACCAGCTTTTCCTTTGCTTCACAAGTGTCCTAGGCAAAAAGCCAAAGGAGTGAAACATACACAGCAAGGTCAGGGATTGTTAGCTCCTGTGGATGAGAAGCATTTGTTACTCCCTTACACTATAGGTGCATGTACATTTATGAATTTCAATATTTTAAGGTATAAAACTTACCCTTAAAAAAATCTTGTGAAAAGTCCCAATTAAATTGGTAAAAAAAAAACAACCCTTTTTTTTCAATTAGCAATAATTGCTCTTCAGATAAACCTCATTGGCTGTGATACTGCCAGTGCACAAAGCTAAAAACCCCTGTTTAACTTAAAAGAATGAGTTGTTCTTTTGTGGTTTAAATACATATTTATCTATTATCAAATAAATATATGAGGACCATTCTGACGCTATGAAGTTGGAAGAGTGTCACCCTGTAGTTTCTGGGGGCTGTCACACCACCACATGGACAAGAAAAAATTCGGAGTGCTGCAAGAGGAATGAGGAGGAGGTGTTCAGGACTGCATGGCATCTCTGAAGTGTCTGGATGTAGCTGAACTTTCCCTAACCTTTTACTTGGCACTTCTGTTACCCAAACCAGTAACATCCCTTTTGTCTTTTAGCCTGGTGTGGTTTAGAATTTTTACTTTTGCAATCAAAATATATCTAATATATCTAGTATTAACAAAACCCAACTCAGATAAGTAGATGTAAGTAATAATGGTTTTAAAAGCATTTGCCTTGTAATGTCAGATTATTCTCTTTTTTTAAAAGCAAGGCCCCTGCAATGCCATTTTATCTGTATATCCCTGCAGTGAAGGCTGATATCCCAGGATTTTGGTTTCTTGAGTTTATATAATACTAATAATGTAAAAAGTAGATCTATGCTAATGTCTATAGTCACAAACAAGAGTGGGGAACAATATAATATATATGTTAGACGTAAAGGACTAAAAATTAGTCTATAGAACATCTGGAACTATGTTTACTTGTTTCAGATTTTATACTGGTTAAGATGCAGTATGTTAAAAATAAAATTTGAAGGATATTTTTAGGATCCCTGAAGACCTCTGAGATAGCCTTTAGATTCCTCAGTTCTCAGGGCAGAGCTGAAAACAGTCAGAGAGGGATTCAGGAAAGGTTCTAGGAGAATATTGTAAATCACTGGCATTTGTCTTTACCACTAGAGCAACCCATTACATCCACAGTGACCTTGTCCTCTATTATGAGGACCCAGTGAGCATCCTTTGATAGGACTGATTGGATGATTCTTCCCTCTTGGAAAAGGGTTCCCAGGGAGTGGTTGGGAGAGAGAACAGCTAAGACCTTTCATTTCTCTCCTCAAAATCAGTGTTCTAGGAAGGTTTGATCTTATGTTTTGCAACGTATAACTAGTAAAAAGTATAAGAACATAGAAAAAAATCTTTTATGCGAAAGCTTTTTAAAATATATAAGGATGGAAATTCATAATGTTAACTCAGACCTTTAGGTCATTCTGAGTGTTAACTCAGACTCCAAATTCACAGAAGCAGGAGCCCCAACTTGCCACGTTAGATAGTGTCCAATGTAGTTAAGCAAAGACTAGAAGTTTTTACAATAACTGTTTATGTCTCTAATGATCAGGAATAGAAGATTTTATTCTTGTAATCTCTGGAAATCTCAAATTCAAAGGTTTTGAAGTCTAATATCCAGGGACTTGTACTATCATAAGACTAATTAAAGGAAGCCAGGATGTCTTGGAGCTTCTTCTGATATTACTGGGGACTCAGAACATTAGAGATGGAAGGGATCTTAAATCTCTAGGTCAGCTGCCTCCCACCACAGGGCCTTTGATCTTTTCTCTGCCTGAGGGCTCTTTTCATCGCTAAATGTTTAATATTATCTCTTACACTGAGGTGAAATCTCTTGTCAATGAATATAGACCTGATTTGCTAGAACACTTTGATTGCTTCCACCTCTAGAGATGGAAAGTGGAGTTGGGTGGATCATGAGGTAGGTTTTACAGGATAAATTTGTTGGTCTGTCGATACAGGAAAAGGTGGACAGGGTCCTCAAACCAAAGAAGGGGCAATTGTTCTAGGGAATTTTGGAAGATGAACATGGTAGGCTAATTTTTGAATTTGCCCCAATATCCACATAAAATAGAAGAAATACATAACAGAGTCAGAAGAAAAAATTAGATAGGAAGGTATTTCCACAAACCCCAAAATGTAATCTGCAGGGACCAAGAAGTAAGTGCTGAAGTACTTGCGTGGTGTCAGCGTTCATGCATGAAGATGAAGGGAAAGCAGAGAGTGTGTCCAGTAGACCTGAAAACTGGAGAAGCCCCAAACAGGCAGAGACATTCAATGAAGGACACATGGATCAACTTGAGAGCCCTAGCTAAAACTAGGAGACATTCACCCAAGACAGTAGGGGTCTGGGGGAAAGGTAGAGGGGCTGGGGAAGTTTAGCCCCTCTGAACTTCCCAAACTGACCACCTGGGCTCCCTTTCAGTATATAAAGGAGTATGTGTATGTATGTATACGTATATGTATGTATGTATGTATGTATATATATATATATATATATATATATATATATTCCTTTTCAGTATATATAAAGGAGACAATGCTGGGAGTAAAATAAAAGTTTAGTAGGATTTTGGTAATGGGGATGATAAAAAGTCCAGTTAAAAGTTGGGGGAAGGGAAAGAGTGAGGCTATCTCAGAGAGCAAGCCAGGTAAATTGTAAGAAAAAGAAAGAACTGGGGGTGAGGGTGAAGTGGGGATAGAAATCTGTAGATCATTGGAGACATATAAAACATGGTGAAAAATAAAATTTCTGTCTAAGGCTGCACAGTGGGTGCTAAAAGTGCAAAGCAAATCTATCAAAGTTATTCTCATGTGAGTTAAAATCGTGGCTATGTTTGGTTAGTATGATTTGGTGAGGTCTACTGTGGGCTTTGGAATGACTTGGGAATTTCTATTTCTTGACCTGGTCGGAGCTAATATTGCGTGTGCTTGTAACTCATTGTTCCATACAACAGTTTTGTAAGAGTTTTTGTATCTATGTTTTATCTTACCATAACAAGTAATAAAACAAGTCAAAATTAAAAGGACCTCGGCCCTCAGCCAGTATTGAATATTGATAGTAAAATCAGTGCAATTCTAGCTAATATTTATTGAAATGTTTCTTATACAAGTTCTATGATAAGTTCTTTACCCAGTGGTGAGATACTAAATCTAGATTCCAGTGGTTAGCTTCCTTTACTAGTTATGTGACTTCGGGCAAGTAATTAATTCTCGTTGAGCATCTGTTTGGTTGATCATCTGTAAAATAGAGGAAGAATATGTTTCAGATAAGAATGTCCAAGTGAGGTCTGCCAGAAAAAGCCTTAGTACAGCACCCAGTTCACAGAAAGTGCTTAATAAATGGTAACTGCTGTTACATCCCTGTGAGATGCTGTTAATGCTCTCATATTAAGGCTGAAAAAACATTAAGCCTCCTAGAGATTAACTAATTATAGATATACTCAGTATGGATCCTGGCTCTCCACCTTCTGCTTCCCTGACTCATTAACTTTCTTCTAAGGATGGTACAATGACGAATGACTGGGCCTGGCCTGGTTCCACAATTCTGTTGGAAGGATATCTTTTTTCTTCTCTTACACCAATGCATGATGTTGCAGTTTCACTACAGAGAGGGAATCTAGCCTTGCTGTCTGAGGCACAGCCACCTGAATCATTCTTGGAAGGAGTAGCATAGGCAGGAAGGATGCATAGCTGTGCAGCCCCTTCAGCAGAGGCATAAAAATATTCTTACTCCCAGAGGTCAGAAGCCCAGTGAGACAGGTAGCTGGCTGAATGTGACACACACATCATGCTGAGAGAGAAAATAAATGGCATTCCTCTGTGCTGAAGTTTAAGTGAAAACAAGAAGCAAGTTGTTTCATGATAATTACCAAATATTAGAAATCTATTGTTCTGTCTTCACTCCCAAGATACTTCTAGGATCTCCAGCTGTGCTAATAAGCTACGTGCATCACTTCCGGGGCTGGAAGTATTGTTCCAAGACAAAGGCTCTTCATCTGTATTTGTTCTTGTTTTCCATCAACACTTGAAACCTAGTTCACCTAAGTTTTCCTGTTGCTTGGCATTTTGTTGGGAAGCAGGGAGGAATAAACAAACCAGAATTTGGAGTTCAGGTTTTAGGTAAGATCTTAGTTTTCTTATGCTTATCTCTCAAAGAAGGGATTTGCCTTATGAAAGTTCTGTTGAGAAGACAGCTGAAGGAATTTGTAGAGCTTCATGTAGACCTTGGCAAACAGTAAATACCATGAATGAAGTTGTGTCCCTAACCACCACTGCCACACACCTTCAGAACGAGAGACGGGATGGCACATGTATAGCTCATATGCTTCTCTCCTCTCTGGTACCCATAGAATCACTAATTAATAACTATATTCTTTCTTGCTTGAATTAGTTTTCTACTACAGCTATTAAAAATTGCTACAAACTTAGCACCTTATAAGAGCAAAACTTTATTTGCTTGTAATTCTGTGGGTCCCACACAGGTCTCACTGAACTAAAATCAATTTGTTGGTAGGATTGTTTTCTCTTTTGGAACCTAAATGGAAGAATCCATTTTCTGGCCTTTTTTAGCATCGAGATGACTCTATCCAGCCTATGCATGCAGTCCTCTGGATCTCAGAGCCAGCAACAGAGTGTCAGATGATTCTCATGCTGTTGCTTTCTCTGACAACAGCCAGGAAATGCTCACTACTTTTAAGGACTTGTGTGATTAGAGTGGGCCCAGTGGCTAACCCAGAATTTTCCACCCATCTCCAGTGACCCATAGACTTAGTCATATCTGCAAAGTCTTTTTTGACATGTAAGATAACATGATGCAGGGATGTTATAGTTTAAATGTGTGTCCCAACAGTTCAAATGTTAGAAATTTAATCCCTTTTGGGAAGCAGTTAACCATTAGATCATGAAGGGCCCCATGATGGCTTTAGTGGCTTTACAAGAAAAGCAAGACAGGTATGAACTAACATAGAGTACCTGCTGTGTTTCACTATGTGATCCCTTGACCATGTCATATATAGTAAGAAGGTCATCCCTGCATACTGGCATCCTGTTCTTGGGCCTCCAGAACCATGAGTTAAATAAACCTCTAAGCATTATAAATGGCTTGGGCCCAGGTATTTCATTATAGCAACAGATAAAATGAACTAAGGCATAGGATATAGACGATTTTGAGAGCCATTGTTGTGCCTACAGTGCAGGGCTGTAAGGAGCTACTTCAAGTGGACCAGAGCTTGACCTGTGA